TTTTGAGGAGGAAGTTTTTGCTGTGTTTCCTTGTTTCTTAATCCATACTTCTTACAAATTTCCTAAAATGTTATTTAGCATTTACACTATTTCTGAATTCTATTGTGTATATTTCCACAGGAAAAGCTGTTGGCTGGACCTGTGATTTTGTGGGTAGTTACCACAAATACCAAGCAACTAACTGTTGTTTCTCCGAAGATGGCTCTTTACTAGCGGTTAGTTTTGAGGAAATAGTTACAATATGGGATTCAGAGACATGGGAACTTAAGTGTACATTTTGTCAACGAGCTGGGAAAATAAGGTAGGTAAATAATTTGGGAAGTATGAAGTATTGTGGCTTTTTTAATTCAAGCAAGTCTTTGTACATAAACTTTAGTGATAATTTATGCTTCCTCTAAGGTATGCTGTGGGTCAGTGGGGCCAGCAGCTGACCAAAATGCTGAGAAGCAGCAAATGCTGGCTGTATGAGCCATCTGCTATGATTTATCTATTTCTGAAATCAGGATTAACTTTTAATTCTTGGCCTGTGGGTTTTTTCCTTTGTAATAAATACTTTTCATAGTTGTACTGCATAACAGTAGAAGCTATACATAAGCCTCAGTAGATCCAATGTTTATTTTCATAACCATTCATCATTCATTTTCATAAAAACAATGTTATGCTCAAATTCCTTTTTTCTAATAATGGCAAGGGAGTATAACAGCAATATCTTCCATTTTATTTCCGGTAACTTGGGCATTTGAGGGCAGAATAACAAATGGCTAATTGTTTCTAGTTTCCAACATACCTAATTCTGAATTTACTTTGTAAAACTGTCTTCAGAATTCATATTGCAAATTTTCCTCTTGAGGCAAATGAGCATAAAAAGGGTTTTGTTAAATGACTTGGTACATTTCACATACTTTTTCTCTATATGTGTTCTTTGTTATACCATACAGCATAGTAAAGAAAAGAATTAGTAATCAAATTGTTTCCCCAAAGAAACGAAAGAGCTAAGTAAACCTTTCCTTTTGTACGCCTTTACCCCTTTTTTCTGCAGGATAATTACTAACAAAAACATATGTGTCTTGTCTAAAAATCTGCATTGCACAAAATAAAAACCATTCGGGAAGTCTGCAGTCCTTTGTAACTAAGTGTGCTAGAACTAACTGTTGTTAACTTCCTTGTTTTAATCTAGGCACCTTTGCTTTGGGAGATTGACTTGTTCGAAGTATCTTCTTGGTGCCACTGAAAATGGCATTCTATGCTGTTGGAATCTGCTCAGTTGTGCATGTAAGACATTTTCTGCTATCAGGTGATAACAAAGCACATGGGAAGTGGCCATTAAATAATCTTTGGCATTTTAGGACTCCCGGGTGTTATCATGTCTACCCAGAGAATAGAATTTTCTACGTGGTATATTATACCAACAAAATTAGGAGTGCTGTGCCTGTAATAATAGACTTTGATTACAGTTGACGCTTGAACAATCCAGGGTTAGGGTCACTGACCCTCTGCAGGGTCACAGATTTGCTTGTAACTTACAGTCAGCCCTCCATGGAGTCAACCAACCTTAGATTGAGTAGTAGTATAGCACTTGGTATTTTATAAATCTACATGTATGTGAACCAGTGCAGTTCAAATCCATGTTACTCAAGGGTTAACTGTATTTATAAACTGCCTGATTGTCAGCACATCAGTTTTTTCCAGTATCTTCAATGTGTATGGCTGGCTGCTGTTGTCCGTATTCTCCATCCTCATAACAGTTGGAGGAATGTTTCTGCTAGTTCCGAATGCATAGTAACCCACAGTATCCCTGACAGCATTAACTTTGAATGTAGCCTAGCCAGTCCTAACAAATGTGGACTTTGTGGCATTTAATCTTTCAAGTATATGTTTGGGAGGTATGGTGGTTGCTTCATAATGAATGTGTGTGATACCGTTTTTTCTTACATTCTCTACAGTGATTTCTAGTTAACATTTTGCCAACATTTGGCGGTAGTGGAAAAGCACTAGACAGTAGTTGGCACTGAAATAATAATCACTTCATAGCATGTGGAAGGAGAACTTTGTTTTTCTGCTTCCTGCCCCTCACTTTAGTGCAGCCTTCCTTCCACAGATAATTTCAGTATATTCTCCGTGTGTTACTTGGCAGCGTAGAATCCCTCTTCCTAAGAATAACAGAATTGGTCGTCACAGTGAAGATTGAGTACCTACTTTAAATAACAAGCTTAGGAAAGCTTTTGGTAAATCTCTTCTTAGAAGTGAATCTCTTTTCTCCCCAGTGGAGTGGAGTGCAAAATTAAGTGTTGGAGTTATGGAACCTGATCCCAATTCAGAGAACATTGCTGTGGTCTCTCAGTCTCCCGTGGGCTCAGACTGTAAGTATGCACTGTATTTTGATAGTAAGAGGAAATCTGTTACCTTGTTTTCTTTTTAACATCTTTCATGTAATTTGAGTTAAACTCACCCTCAAAGCAGATGTCCATCTAAAGCCATTTGCCTGACTACTGCCCTTCCTTTCTAGAGTCCCAGCTCATCCCTCATTTTTCCACATGTCAATTCCTACTCAGCCTTCAAAAGCCAAGAGAGATTTCGCCTTTTTGAAGCATTCCTAAAACCCCTGAGGAGCTTTAATGTTCCTGCTCTATGATCTTAAAGCTCTTTCTACAGATCTCTGTTCTGTTGCTTAAGACAAAATACTGCCGTAGTATTTCAGTGTCTGTTTAGTAGGACCTGCTCATAGAAGCAGAGATTCTTCTTTCTCTTTTTCATCTTCAAAGCCATTATTCTAACCTGCTTGGCACATGGTAGGCATCCAGTAGAAATTTGTTGAATCAAAGCCTAAATAACCATGACTTGGGTAATTTACTTAATGGTATAAGTCTCAGGATGTGTGTGGTCTGCAAATCTGAGGCTAGAACCAACCTTGCAGGCAAAATGTTACTGTCTTTTTGTTTTTTCCCTCTAGTGTTTGTATTTAAACCTAGTGAGCCAAGGCCACTGTACATTCAAAAGAATATCTCCAGAGAGGAGGTCCAGTGGGGAGTGTTTGTTCCACGAGATGTCCCTGAATCATTCACCTCAGAAGCTTACCAGTGGCTCAACAGATCCCAGTTTTACTTCCTAACAAAATCACAGGTAGCCATCCCACCTCAGAAAAGGCAGTCATTTTGTACGTGTAATTTTCAGTTGCTTTAATATTCGAAAGTAATAGCCCATGGCAGGGGGAATAGGTTTATTAAAGGATTGCTCCTCCACCAACCCCAAATCATTTGATATGCTTATTAATACAGCATTATTACCAGTGGGAGTGTATGAGCATCACTTTACCCCACACCTTTGAGGCTAAGTATTACTTGCATCCGTTCACTCTGTGACAGCAAAAAAGGTAATCTAGAATACTTTAAATTGTATTTATTAGCATGGCTTTTTTTTTTAATTTCAGTATTTAGTTTACCATAAAGAAATTAGTGACTTAAATTTGGTTCATCAGTTGAATTTTATTTTGTTACCAATTCTTAAATACTGTCTTTCAGAACAATCTTAACTGTCGCAGCAGTTAACTGTTTTAAATTTTTATTACTTTTCTGTATCAAGATGAGAAGTTGACCTCCTCTTTCTCTAACTTCAACATCTTATTTAGATTTGCACTCTACAACTTACTTTTGCATCATTAATTGACCTCTCTTTTCAGAGTTTACTGACATTCAGTACAACGTCTCCAGAGGAAAAACTCACACCAACAAGCAAACAGGTATGTTCTAGTCACTCATGCAGATCATGCATGTTGCCTCCCTGCAGAGATAAGGTTATCTTTTAGAACTCAGCTATGAGAAAAATGTCTTACCTGTCCTAAAATTGAATTTAAAATTATATACTTAGCAACTGCTTGCCTTTTTTGATGTCATAGTGCTCTTTGAAAATGTAGTTTTAATTTGTAATTATCAGTATTATATGCTTGTAAATTAAAGAGTCAAATAGTCTCAACAGGACTCATCAGGAAAAACTTTAGTATTACCACCACTTCCATTACTCACAAAGATGCTCTCAACTCTTTTAGCTGAAGTTTTTATTTACCTCCATATCTCTAAGAAATATGTTTATGTACTGCTAATTCTGGATATTTCAGATCTCAGTATTTGTTAACTGATCTGTTGAAGTTGAAGTTGTAGCTCTCTTTACACCACTCCCCCCATACACATAGCACACCCACACATCCTTCCTGTCCCCTAATTTTCCCAATATAGATAAACATTAAATTGGTCGGGTCAGTGTTCATCCTTAAACATGTAAACACAATTCATAGCTGAGCCATGTAGTAGTAAACATTGTTTTCCCTTTGTGACCAGCTTTTTTCCTCTGCAGTTAATGATTGCCTTCTTTTTTTATTTGCTTAGTTTTCTGTTTACTTCTCACCTAACTTACCTGCAAACTCCACCCTAGTTGTGTAAGTCTTCTCTCATTATTTTCAAGCACTAGGTATTCTTTTGAATCTTGAAGAACTATTTCCAAGAGCCTCTCACAGGCTTCATTCTGGACTGACTGCCCTGTAAGCCTGCACAGTAGTCATCTTAGGATCTACGTTTGCTGCCGTTCTGGGGGTGCACGTCACTTCTGCTGTAATAGATCCCAAGGTTTTCCTCTTTCTTTGGTCACTCCCTTGCTGTGATGAAGCACGTTCTGTTGGTGCATAGAAAGTAAATGTAAGACCTTGCATGTTTGGACATCCTTTTATTGTCTCCCATTTGATTGGTTGGTTGGGTAGAGTTCTAGTTTGAAAATCATTTTGTCTTAAGAACTTGAAAGATACTGTCTTATACTCTATCTGTGAACTGACTTATCTTCCTCTGAAAATTCATTGAATTTATTCAGTAATTTTTTGATTATCTACTATATATTCTAGATATTTGGAATGTATCAGTGAGCAAGAGAGTCAAGTCTCTAAACCTTCTGTGTTTATAGTCTTAACAGGAAGGTAAAGACAGAAGAGAAATAAGTGAAGTATGTAGTATTTTAGAAGGCAGTAATGGGGGGAGGAATGATATGAAAGGGAGTGTGGGGTGAAGGTGGCCATTTTAAGTAAAGCAGTCAAACAGGCTTTCATGAAAAGACTTTGGCTTTTCCTCTGAAATGTAGAGCCCCCTTGGAGGGTTTTAATCAGAAAACTGACTAAATTATTAGAATTACTTGTTTGCCTTCATTTTCTCTAGAACTATTATTTAGTACTGGACCATCTAGGATGGTGCTCTGATACCGTATTTTTTTCTTCTGTTTTCTTTCTATTATTGGGAGATTTCCTCTTTTTCATATGAGCTTCTGCTTTTTTTCTCTCTTACATGGTTCATTTCCATTAGGTTTTATTCTTAATTATTTTAGAGCTTTCCATCAGTCTGATGATCCCTGGCTGTCTGTTCTTGTTCAAAAGTGAGCAAAATGGCCATTTGGAGATTTTCTACCTGGGTGGAACGCGTCTCTGGCCTCTACTCTCTGGCTGAGGTATTATGAGAAAATCTCCAAAGCCATTATTTTAGGACTTTTTCTCTTAGGCTGGTCAAACTGCCCAGATAAAGTTATTTCAAGTTCTTGCCTGAAAGATGTCAGCCTGGCTGCCAGTGGTGTGAGAAGCACACTCTGTGGGGCACAACTGCCTTCAGCTGGGAAGACACCGCCCCGCCGCACACCAAGCAGTCCAGTCTAAGGACACACTTTGTTTCGCTCTCCAGAGAGCATACTGCCCGTCCCCTGCTGCGGTTGAGGAGGAGATCTGGAAATCTGAGTGCTCTCCAAGCAGACCTTCAGCCAGGCTACTTGTTTTGAGTTTCAGGGGTTTTTTTGGGGTTTGTTTGTTTGTTTACAGAGTGCTGTTACTATTAGGACAGTACTTTACAGAGGTGCTGCTACTATTCATACCAATTCTTGAGCACTTGCTGGATCCTACAGTATAAATTAGGATGCTTCTTAGCTTTCTCTGCCGCCAGCCTAGAATCCTGCTTTCTCGGGTCTGTTAAGTTATCTTACAGTCCTTCAGCCTGCTTTCCACCTTCCAGTATGTTACCACATCGCCCATTCTCTTTATCACTGTGGGTTTATGCCCTTGTGAAAACCCCTCTGCTGCCATTTTTGTAGGACTGGGGGAAGCAGCAGTGGTGGACGCGCATGTTCTGTCATCTAAGTGTCCACAGTTAGCTTCTCCCCGAGCACGTGGGCTGCTGGTCCTCAGCTGCTCTGCCTGTAAAGTGAAAGAATCGTAGTAGATAATTTCTACAGTTCCTTCCATCCTTAACACTTTGTAGTACTTCATATTGAGTCTATGGCAGTTCCTCCTTTTTACTGAAGTAATTTATTTCTCTTTGTCTTAAACCCTTACAGCTGTTAGCAGAAGAAAGTCTTCCGACAACCCCGTTTTATTTTATACTGGGAAAGCACAGGCAGCAACAGCAGGATGAGAAATTAAACAAAGCCTTGGAGAATGAACTGGAACAGCTGCCCTTAACAGAAAACATACCTGCAATTAGTGAGGTAAGTAATTATTAATTAGTTATTAATGTGAAGCATAAGTTTATTATAATAATAATTATTATTAATTAACTTTA